TTGATAGAGGACATCACTACTAGATTAGGCAGTTTATTGCTCTGAGCAGATATTCAAATTGTTCACATATACCTAACGTTTCAACAAATATTTGTACGCAAATAAGTTGAGAACATGTTACAAAAATACAGAATGATAATATGTAAATACAAAAATGATGTTATACATTATTGAATCTCTATCGTACAGGAATATGAAATTTTACCTACAGCCATTAACTATTCATGACCTAATTTTGAATTTTACTGTGATACTGTGATCTACAATAATTATACTTGACCCATTTACGCGGAGTTCTATTTTTGAATTCAGATGGCAATGAATAGTTATTTATTATACAAGGGAAAAATACATTTTCCCCGTGTATAAATACACTATTTTTTTCTGTGACAAAAAGAAGAACGAATCAATATTGAGAAGATATTACATTATATTAAAATGAGAAAATTGTCGACGTGGAATTTGAAGTTTTTAACAGGAATATGACACCTGCGTTGCGGGCATCTTCATCATTCTTTTGAAGTAATCAAATATTTGTCAGTGTAATTCTGTGATTTGATTTTCAAAAATTTACCGTAGGAAAAAAGTAATTACTGATACATTAACCTGACCACAGAAATGAAATTCCAAACTTTTTTCCCGTCACAGAAAAAACATAATTATAACAAATTCACAGTGATTGAAAACACTATACTACAATGTGAATGAATTTCTTAGTATTGCTAGAATACAACATATATAGGTACCAAGCCACTGATCATCAGAAAAAATATAGAAATAGGACAGTGGGAGTGTTTGAGAAAAATGTTCTGGGATAGGATGCCAATATTTCCAATAGTATTAGAATATTTTTTCTTCCAACAATCAACAAGGAATAAGGTCCTCGCCAAATCACTATTGATTTACCTACTACAAAATTATGATTCATTCGATATTATTTTTCTAAAAATATGATGTTTCCTCTGTCATTGACAGACCCAATTCGATATTGTTTCTTCAACGATTCTAAATATGACTATTTGATTGCTTATCACTCCTTATCAGTTCATTATTGATTTCACTGTGACATCTTCGTCAACATGGGTACTAGGTGAAAACAAACTCCTTAAAAATTCCTTTCATCGATGTAGAGTTGATAACCAGAGCTTATTTCGGAAAAATTCCTTCGAAAAGAATATATATGTAGGTAATCTTGGTATACGGTTAAAAAATATATACCTATGTTTGTGGAATATTATTTCTGGAGAAACATTCGAATATCGCCTTGATAAATATAATATAGTAGGAAGGAAGGTAGGTAATCTAAATTTGAAAATAAGCAAGAGTCCAAAGTTTGTTGTCTATTTTGAGTCGAACGCCGCCTACTATAGTGGCAATTCGATATTCAATAAGTGGGTTTTCTTAAACCAAAAATCTCGGCATATCATTGCCTGTGACTACTCAAAATAGTTGGACTGAAAATCATGTACAGATACCATCAGATATTGTGAAAGAGATTGTACATTCATAACATGGCTTCCTGACGAATCAACAGGTGCGGTTGATTTTATATTATGTTTTTTGTTAGATTTTCTAGGTAGGTACTCCTAAAACTGTTGGAGGACACTTGACACATGTCAGGTCGTCTTTGGTCACGTATTGGCTGGAAATCATATTGTAATCAATGTGTTGAAATATTCGGAAGCCTTGATAATTTCCATATTGTTTCATCACTCTATGTGACCCTTGGAATCTATTTGGTAATAACTATATGCAATGAGTTTAGAATTAGTATTAATTTAATCAGTCTATTGTCTTCTTTGTTTTCGGAAAGGATTCAAATTTGTAACAAGCAATAGTAAATTTTGATGAATGAGAATAATACAGTGGCATCATAGTAATCAAAAAGTTGCTAAAGAACAACTGAAAACCTGGATTTGAAATTTGAAAGTTCGATCTGCTAGGCGCTAGGGGTAAGAGAGGGATGATGAACATAATATAAAGCTGGCCTGTCAAAAATGCACCCCCAAGGTCAAAAATGCTCCCCCAAGAACAAAAATCTACATTTTCTGGCTTTGCCAACTAAGATTGACTCAGATAAGCAGAAAAACAACTAATCAATAATTAGCATCTAGTGTCAAGGAACAATGTCACTACATACGGACTTTTTCATCTTTCTTATTTCTACCTTATTTCTATTTAAAAAAAGGTAGAAAGGACTTCACCAAAGAAGAAATTAAAACGACACAATATGGCCGAAACAAACCAAAGATCTCCTCGATCAAACAAGGAAGATATCAAATACATTGATCAATATAAGCAAGAAAGGTTTCAAAGGCGATAGCGGGATCTCTCAGGGGTATAGGGCGTTCTTTGTACCTAAAATTGTAGATCCAGAGAACACTTCACCGTAAAAGAGAACAGCACTGAGAGTTTCTCCATGGAAATCCGGAAACAACCACATCTAATGAATATAGGTAGATAAATACTTTGCAGATGATGGTACTCTCCATACTGCGTTCTCTTCCAGAATTCCAATTTCTTCCCAGGAAACGAAGAACTTACGACGAAGGCAGGTCAACGCTGTCAATGAAAATCTTGCTAAAATTACAGCCTGGGAAACCAACAACCTTATTGAATTCAACACCACCAAAACTAAAACCTGTTTGTTATTCTCTCGAAAGGCCAAACTCAGTATGCCTGACATGACATATCAATGTCTGGTACCACCATTATTACCACTTTATATATCGTGAAAGCAGCTTCACAAAAACTCGGATTTTTATTCCTTGCGAGAATCTAATACTTTACCCTCAACAGCCTCAACGGCCTGTTCTAGAGTATCTACTGTTCCCACATATGGGGGTTCAGTACCCAAACATACGCTGCTGATGCTCTTAGATTCCATCCAGAGAAGAGCTCTTCACCTGATGGGTGAGGCCAAACTCACTAATTATTTGACATCATGGGAACACCGTAAAAAACTCGGCGACCTTTCACTTTTCTTTAGATACTCCCACGGAATACCAGTCATACGAACTCGACAAGCCCAGTCAGAAAATCCCGTCATCGTCAACCTTGAGATTATGCCGAACAAATCTTTATCAAAACTCGTTTGTCTATAAAACGGCAAAGCTTTGGAACTCTTTGCCAAAGGAAGTATTTCCAATACCTTATAATCGCCAAAAGTTCAAAAAAATTCCAATACCTACCTCCTCTCCCTATCCTCCCTAGGTACCTACGCACGATGTTCTATGAACATTATAGGGGTTCTCTTTCGTGCGCCCCAACAGATAAAAAGAAAGTAAAACTAAGAATTCACAATAAAATTAAGAATCTAAGATGCTGATTTGTTGAAACATTCTTCCAAAGATTCTCAATTTAAAAGTAAAAGAGCTGAGGATAGTGGGCCCACCATGGCCACAATGGGTCAATGGATCCACATACCACACACACCAAATCTCCCAATCCGATGGTTTTTGAACCGGAGCTCTTCGGGGCCAAAGATCATTGCTCTTGCCCCAGTTTCTCTTCCGAATCCGAAAACACCGCTGCGGCCCAACCTCCTGTCACTCGCAACTAGAGTCTAGCCATAGCACCATAGCGAAGTAATACTGCGCCTGGCTCGCTGGGCGCGAGGAACATAAAATTTCTCGCCTGGCTCTGGCCAAAAGCGTTGCGGTGCGGGACAAATATTGGAGCGAAACAATAAAAGCAAAGCATAATTGGTAGGTGAATACCCAATACCCTTAATTAGCGCCAAATTATGTACCACGAGGTTAGTTGGTTGGCATTCGAACTGTTCCAGGCGCGGTCGCAGCCCAATCATTTGGGGGGGGTCAACTTGAAACAGGAGAGGACAATTTTTATTTTCTCTCTAGATGACTAATTCATTTTGTTTTTCACTCATTTTACATAAGCTACTGAAGTAACCCTCAGAAGCCCTTGATAGGCTTGTGCAACGGGATCTCCAGTTTGAAGAAGTGGAAATCAAACCAATGTGACATTCAGGCTCCATCCCATATGATATACCATGCACTGAGCATAATTAAACCCAAATCTAAGAAGGGCCAAGCTCAATAATCCAACCCACGACCTCTTGATCACAAGTGTGATCGCCTGTCCGTTCGACTTCTGACCGAAATTTATGGAAAAGTGACAATAAACTCAGTTAGAAACTAGAAGAAAATCTTCTATTGGATTTGGAGAATCGGTTTTTATATTTCACGAGTATTTTGAGTTTGTTTTTGTTGTTCAAATATACCCAGATACTAAACTAAGTATCTTTTACCATTCTCCAGATATTTGAGGTTGAACGTCACATTGGAGGACTCTCAGAAATCCACCCAAGTTTTCTCCGTTTTTATAAAATATAACGAAAAACGTTCTGATCGCTGATATTATTTTTGCAAGGAAAGGGGGAATTTTTGTGGATTTATATTATCCTCACATCAGTGTTCAAAGTTCTGCGATATAATATTATTCACAGACGTAATAGTTATACCTTATGTACAATTAAGATATCTAAGGGATGGGTTGATTGAGAATGATGATTCAATATTTGATTTACCTACAAACCTACATAATTATCAAAAATTAGAGTGTTTGATCTGAATAAATCGTTTCGTGGTGTGTTATGATTCCAGGGATCACCCTTTAAAACTTCTGATTGATAGGGCCTCTTCGATAGATGAATGTACGTGGTATCATGGTATCAACTACTCAACTAGGAAAGCAGTTGCTTTATGTAGCATTTCACAACAATATTTTCATATTCATACTCGTATTCAAATTTATTTTTGTGTCGCTGCAAGTTCTCGCTCCCAGCGATCAGCGAGCCACGCGCAATATTACCTCGCTATGGTGCTATGCCTAGACTCTAGTGTCACTCGCACGGCACGCGGGGCCCGACCTCTGACGTCACCCCACCCAACACGCCGCCGTGACGTAGCTATCACGACCAGCCGCTCGCCCGTCATCCGCTGAGCACGTGAACACCATGCAGCGGATCACGCGGGCCACGAGTGATCGGCCGATCGCCGATTGGTCGACAGTCGCGAGCCCCCGCTTGCCATTGGTCGGTTCGCAGATGCGGCGCGCCACACACCCCGAAACGACAGGACAACATCAATGAAAGGTACAAATACTGTGGGAAAGCGGAATAGGTATTTTGGTCCTGTTCGCCAACGGGATACCGTTTTTGTCCATTCGAGGGTGTCCAGATTTTGTGTTCGTTTCTAGGAAGGATGTCGACGATGATGATGATGATTCCTAGCCAAGGTTTGCCTTCACCACCCACAACTCCACCCCTTAAAAATGTGAGTAGTTTGGAGACTTTGGATAACATTTGAATTATGTTGGAACAAAAATACTGTGCGTTTGATTCATCTTGTCCAGATTCAGGAGGACAATCTATCGTTTGCGTTAACAAATTCAGTTGTGTTGTGTGTTGGTTCATTGGTAGTCAACAAACAAGAAGAGAACGTAAATGATTGAAAACCATCACAAAGAAAATGTGCTCATGGAATAGTTTTATACCATGTTTAGTTGATTTGACTCAATAGGGATTTGAAAAGTTACCTAATATACCTACCTATAGGAACTAAGTAGGTAAAAAAAATACCTACCACTCCTTCATCAAAATACACGCTCCACTGAGATATTTTTTGCTAGAAGCAACATATCAGTGATTAGGAGAATGTTGAATTTTCTTGAGAACCTTCATCTCAAGATATAAAAAAAAATCTCTGAGCAAAAAATAAAAATAAAAACATGAACATCTCTTCAGAGTTACAAGGTGTTCGAAAATATGTGTATTTTTTATAAGTGGCTGAAACTCATCAATTTGCCTTTTTTCATGATAACATCCATGCTTCGGAAATGGTTCCATGAGAACAAAGTATTTTTCCAAAAGCATGAGGAACCTGATGGACTTCTGCAAAAGTTTCTCATTTATCACACCCTCCCATGAGGAAAATGTTTTCAAAATAATGAATCCTAGCTAAGCTAATATACAATTTCTTAATTTTCGTGATGCAATTTTGATCACAGGAAGCCATGAAATAATAATAATAAATCAGATTCAATTCATGGACCATCTGATAGATATTTATAGGAAGTACATTTTTTAAATAACATTATTTGAATATACTCCGAAGTACGAAGGCGGTTAGAATTGAAGCGGAACACAGTACACTTAAGATTAAACCTTGCAACTTTGGTACCTTCACAACTTTTTTAACTCGTTATTTATTGGTCTTAAGCTTGGGGGTAGAAATAGGGAAATACCTTGTATTTTTCTAGAGAAATGGTAATGCAACTTTTCAAACGACATACTATTTTGTTTCACAAAAAAAAATGAAAAAATGGCGAGGTAAATAGAGTAGCGTATTGTGATCACAACTGAATGAAAATGAGATTGCATGAATACTTACTCTGAATTGCCTATTTTTCAAAGAGCATTATTCTCACCGTCCAGATGTTATAATAAATATATTAGCCACTTTCGGTTTCAATACAGTACCTGAATGTAATTTCAAGTACTTTAACGTACGTGTCTTTTTTTAGTCTTATCTTATTTTTATATTACCTACCTATTTTTGAATTTGAAGCTTGCTCATTTGGCAACCTATTTTTAGTAATTCTAGATTTTTCCGGAAACGTATGCAATGAAAACCTCGGAAGTACTTGCCCCTTTTAGATTGGCAAGTGTAATCGCATATTGTGTTTATCTACTTGATGCTAAGTAAATAATTGGCATGTTAACAATAACACTATGATTAGAAATGCACTCACTCAGGGAGTGATCGCAGTGCTGCCAGATCCTGATGTTTTCTATTTTCGAGTATTGAATAATATAATATGCAACTAGTGGATCTATGATTCGGATTTTTCTATACATCCATCACTGTTTAGCTGACTAGATTGCGAAAAAAATGTAATCTTGTAAAATTTTTATAGGACCCACCGTTTTCAAGGAAAAAAAATCTCTCACTACTATTATGTACTGACCTTCTATGAATAATTTCAGTGAACATATTTTTATTTCATTGTTTAATTTATCAGGACAGTTTTGATTTTTTCTAGAAAAGGGTGCGTCCTATATAAATTTGACAAGTAGGTACCTATGTCTTTATTGTAGCAATTTATTTTGGCGGTGAGAAAAAATCAGATTATTTTTGTGAGACGACAGGTATCATATGACGCCGAAATCTACGCTACTGGGTGCTTTGGTGTTCTCGGATTTTTTTCAATGCTTGCTTATTTCAAAAACAACGTTCCTATACAGAGAGAATCAAAATCATTGGTCCACACTATATGAAAAGATAAAATGAAAAAACTAACTAAACAACCTAATATCAGTTATAAGATTCTTTCATGGAAAAATTTATCTTCAATTTCAGAATAAGCTTTGTCTACACGCCATATATTTAGATTTGAAATAAGTTATAACCACACAAAAGATAATATCAAAATATGAGATTCGTTCTTCATTGAATAATTATAAATTAATTCCAAGGATGATATGATCATAATGTTATCAAACGGTCAAAGGTTGAAAGTTTGTTTTCTATTTCTAATATTTTCCGAATTGGAAAACTTGCATACCTATTTTCTCGCATATTTCGCATATTTCATCGACCGATTTTCAAAAACAAAAAATTCCATAAAATAGTACTCAACGAGCTACTCTATTTGAAAATGTAGAAAAATCTGAAATATTCAGATTTTCAAGGCCATTTTTTCAAGGGGCCAAAATTTCAAAAACGACTATTAGGCAATTTTTTCGAAAAATCTAAGAAGTTGATATAACCGGTGAGTTGGTCATTCAATGAACACACATATAGAATACTTTGATACGAAGTTCCATCATTGTAAGCTCTACAGGAAGATGTTTCAAGGTCAACCAAGAATCAACAAAACCAAAGTTGAGGTTCACCATTTTGAAAACGCAAGCAAACCGTTTTCCACACACTTCAACACACAGTAACTTTGAAAATCGTATCGATTGATGAAAAGCTGTCGAATATGACACAAATGACAAATGAAACTTCGTATCTAAGATTCGCGCGTACATTTTTACGTGTTGAAAACTTAACAAAAATCACTCGACTGCCTACTATGATTTCTCTATCTACGTCACATTGAGCGACGAGTGAAAATAAAATGGTAAATGGTATTTTAGGTACCCGGAACATATGTAAAAAAGTAGATTTATTTCACTCTAAATTCGAAAAATCTACGGCAATTTAAAAATTTACAGATGTAATAATTGTGCAGTGTCGCCCTCTATCCAAAAACCGCCAAAAACAAGAATTTCAGAAGCAATTCCATCATTGTTCCTCCATTGAATGACTATTTCACCGGTTATATCGACTCCTTGATATAGGGTGATTCAAGAATATCAAAATTTGCTATTGGATAAATAACACCCTATATGAGATATTCCGTTCAAATTTTGTATGGGGATATTTCACCTATGCCTAAATCGAATTGGCTAGTCACTGCTTCAATGAAAAATTGTCTAGTAGTTGTTTTTGAAATTTTGACCTTTCCAATAAACAAAAGTAGGCCTTGAAAATATGAATATTTCAGATTTATCCACATTTCCGAAGATAACTTGTTGACTACTATATTATGGAATTTTTTAAAATCGGTTGACAAGTTCCAAATTGGGAGGGTGTTGGGGGTTGAAATCGCACACCACTGTATGTGTAATTAATAATTATTTCAAAATGAAAAAACTTTAAATTACTTTATTCCTGCCTAATACGACTATAGAGAACATTCAATGTTGAGTATCTGAGATAAGATTTAAAATCTGATGAGGAAACTGCCTTTTATTATTGAGAAGAAAAAATGGATACCTACCTATGAAACTCATTTTTTGATGAAATATAAATGAAATCCTTATCGGCTCACCTCTCGGCTCACCTATTATTTTTGTTTAATTAAAGCATCAACAAAATTTTCGAATATTTTATGAGACTTTATAAAAAGCAATATCAAATATTTCTCATATTAGAATTGATTTATAAAAAAAATTCTATTGCAACAAAGTATTGAAGATTGGTGAATCTCAATTGAATTATTCAACAATAGATATATGTATAAAGCCTAAAATCCCCATATTATATCAGTGAATAACCCACTAAAGGCTTTGTTTATGTTGTTACAGTTGCCTGAAGATGAATCGGCTCAGTCCTCAGCGATCCTCCAACTACGTCAATTCCTTGGCCAAAAGAGGCCCCTACCACCCAACATCCCAGGGCTTCTAACCCCTCAACCCTCAGATTCTGAGAGCGAAGATGCAGAATGCCCCACAAAAAGATTGTGTCTCCCTCCACCAGTACGCCAACTGTCAATCAGCCACCCACCAACAGACGCTGTTGTAAAGGAGCCCCAATCCAGGAACTTTTCTGTGATCATGAAAGCCCACCAAGATGGCAGCTGTACAAGACTACCCATACCAAACGAGAAACCACCAGTACAGCCAAACATACTCAGAACCCTGAAGTTCAAAATGGGAAATAGAAATAAGGAACAAATAATTAACTGCCAGAAGATAGTGTCTAGATCAGAGGAAAAACCTGTAGAAGCTACCAAACCAATTTCACCACCTGCTTATTTACCCACTTTGGCACCAAAATTTGCTGCTCCTAGTCAGCCTACCATCTTCATATCTGCAGATGGTACTGTTTTACCTACCCAAATATTTTTCATAGCACCTCAGCCCACTGTGACCCAACTGCCTGCAAGGAAAAGAGTCTATGAGTGCACTTATGAAGGGTGTGGCAAGAACTACTTCAAATCCAGCCACCTCAAAGCACATAATCGCACCCATACAGGAGAGAAACCTTTTGTGTGCCACTGGGAGGATTGTGGAAGATGTTTTTCAAGATCTGATGAGCTATCCAGGCACAAGAGGACCCACACAGGGGAGAAGAAATTCAAGTGCAGTACTTGTCAGAGGCGGTTCATGAGGTCTGATCATTTGGCAAAGCATGTCAAGAGGCATGCTAAGGATAAACTGAGCATGCCTAAGGCAAATGTTCTACCAGTACTTAGGTCTATTCAGCCAGCAGTTATGCCTCTTTGCATACAAAGGGTTTGAAGTGTTCTATGAATAAGAAAGGTCGTTTCTCTCACTTTGTCCCTTTTATACTTTTTTACTGAGGAATAGTTTTCTAATGTTACACCTGTTGTATATAGTACATTCCAATTAGAGACTAATAGAGGTTATATTGACTTTATTATTTGATATTATCTGTGATTCAACATATTTATTGTATTGTTAAGATTAATCAACTGAGCAAATTTTATAAATATGTAGTATATTGTATTATGTTAATATACTTTTGCAACTCTATGCCCTCTTATTCAAACCCTCTGGCTAGAGATCTCTGCCTTGCATATGAGAGATTATATGACTGATGAATATAAATATTATGAATCTTCTGTGAATTCTAATGATTCCTAATAACTCGTTTTGATGTGAGAAATTCATATTGTGTTGTGTGGGTTCACTTCAGGTATATATATATTATTTGGATGTAGGTATTGTGAATTGCAAGTATTGTATCATAAAAAGTGGCCAACGAAAATGTTAAAATTAAAGGTTGACAAAAATCACTAACCTGGAGATCCAGTTTTCCACCATGTCAACAAGGAATGCAGTAGGTACTTCATGGTTTTCCTCGAAAACATTCACATTGCCGCCAAGAGTGGCCAATGCTTCAAAACAAGTATTTTTCATCGAAAAATCTTCTTCTGTCGTTTTCGATTTTATAATAGAACTTAGCCAGTTCGATGTCAGTTAAAAAATATTATGACATACGAAATGATCGTTCCAGTAAATGGCATGAGTCTGATGGCTGCTGCTGCGACGACACTCAACACTTTACACCATCACAGTTCATACTCATGATAATGATCATGATACTAAAACCACTCAACCAGAAAACTATTAATGACCAGATGAAAAGTACTTAAAGGGATTGTCGACAGTTAACTAATCTCTGTCTTCAAGCTTCATGCATATCTCAACTTGAAGGACTTGAATCATTGTCGGCTAAGTGGTAGAATGAATTGAATTACCTGCCGTATAATTCAAACTCTTGAACAAACTAACATATTCGTTCGTTCTCTGAATTGTCCAAGTGTTCTTCCTATAGAAATACTTCTTTGGCTTATACTGAGTAACACTATCAAACCAAGAACCAAGAATAAAATTTGGCGCATTTGAAGTGATTGAAATGGGAACCGTGAGTCTGCCTGCCAAGAGTGGTCGCTCAATAACGCTACAAAGTTCGAAAAAGTAAAGTGCCACACGCCACACTAACCATCAACTGTCAAATAACCTTCAAAAGACATACCTGAAATTCCCTTATTTATTATTCCTATAAAAGTATACTCACTCTGTCACGTTTTACTCGTGCGGCACCATGTGCACCACGGGAGCTATCCTGGGGTAGTTCTCGTGCCACGGATATGGGCAGCACGCAGGGCAGGTGCTTTGGTGCTTATCGTCGAAAAAGAATCACACTGCCGCCCAAAACATTTATTTTACATAGACATATTTTCTTCAGTTCAGTTCTCTTCTTTTTTATGAAAGTGCTTGGATTAATACGGTTATTACGAGATAATCGCCCCACTCGCGCCAGAAGTGTAATATGACTGGGTATCTATGGCTGCCACTGCACTCAACACTTTACCTAACTGAAAAAACTTCTCTGATATATTATTACCTTCCATAACAAATTCAAAATTTGGGAGGAATACCTATTCAAAATGAGTTGAATAAAATTCATAATAGAAATCACAAACTTACCACCGGTCGCTGGTTTCTGGTCTGGTTTCCTCTTCTGTCCAATTTTCACGTCAATTAACCATACGTCGCTTCTTCGATCTAAAACTTTGGTGGAATTAAATCTCGAATTTAAATTTCGATATTAAGATTTAAAATCATGAAAGTTACATGGAATAAGAAACTGGAATATATATGAAAACTTTTTCAAATTCCGTTGCTGAAACGCGACATATTCTTCTATTGCTCAAAAAATGAGCGGAACAGATAGCCAACAATTTTCTCCTAAATGAGAAACACTGTATATACCTAGCCCATCAGGCGCCTACCCCGGTTGCAACGAGGGTTTACCGACGCCAAGGGTTGATACTCTCCCCTCGTAAGGGTACCTGTCGTGTCTCCATTGAGACATAAAGATGACTATCGAAAAATGTTCTATGATATATCGCCTTTCATAACAAATTCAAAAATTTGGAAGAAATATTCAAAGTGAATTGAATATAATTCGTAAATAGGAATGAAGAACTTATCACCGGTTCGCTGGTTTCTAGTCTGGTTTCCTCTTTTGTACAATTTTTCCGTCGATTATTAACACGCCGCTGCTACGATCTAAAACATAGTTGGTATTATATATTGAAAATTGTAATCATAAAAGTTACATGGAATGAGAAACTGACCATATGGTATATATTAATGATATTCGGCAACTAAATAATCGCATACCAATGACGGCTGAATATCAAGTGAGCTGCCGACATTCAGACAATGATATACAGGGTGCTCCATTTGAAAATCAAAAGAAATTACCACTTCCGGTGGAACTGGAAGTGGAAAATGAAAATTTTTATGTTAAAACATGAAGTTTATGAAGTTGACGAGTCATTTCAAATTTTAATCACTTATCTCTCAAGCTGAAGCTGAAGGGGAGTGTACCATGATCTTGTTACACCCGGTACCTATATTGATTGAATTTGAAAGAATGACCGGATGAAAGTGAAATTGGACGGCTTCGAACGTTCTTTCAATTATTCCTATAATTTTCAACGAATTCATCCATCACTTTACGAGGGCACTCTCAGTTCGACGGACGCACTGTATACAAAGCCTATGTGCGATATATTTTTGATTTCAGCTGTTCATGGAGATTCCATAAATTTGATAATATACATATAGGATGATCCATTTGAAAAAATTGTCGCAGACGTCATCATCCAAATATGTCGTATCACCCTGTATATTAAATTTTCTTCGCCTTCGGCTTGTCATTTTGATAAAGATGTCATTCGCGGAATTACTAGACAACACGCTGTCATAACAATCACCGAATATTTCCGGCTGAACAGTATCACTTGTGGAATTGAAAAGAAGTATACTCAGATATATATTTATGAACACAAAAATTGATATATAGGTAGGTATGTATAAGAAATACATTTAGAATTCGCATTCTCCATGTGATGAAAATATTAATAATTCTTTCTCGGTTTATTCAACAGAAAACAACTGAACACACGATAAGAATTAAAAAAACAAAATCTTCTGAAGAAGAGATCGAATTTGCATTCTCCTTCATATACATATATGCATATAATATCATTCTGAATATTCAACAGAAAACAGCTACTTTCCTGGCTATTTGTCACGTCGAACATTAAATTATATCTATTGAATATCCAAAAAGAGAGCATGAAAGATCAAAATCCTCTAAAATTAAGAATTGACATCATTACATCATCCTGTATGATGAATGTCAATTTATCATACATCCGATATGAAAAGAGTTGGAAAACATTGTTTTACACGGGGTGAGGAGAAATTCGATATACGTACAATAAAGAATACATGGTCAATTTCAGTATATGGTGAATCGAACAAACTGCTCAAGTATTGAAACTTCACGATGCAAATATAATGATACAAGTTATTTTGTTGAACCAATTGAATCGACCGCATGCTACGAAATCTGATATACGACTATAGTGAATTGCTTATAATTACTGTAATTAGGTACGTCACCTTTCTAAGCGATATATTCCCGGAAGATTGAATTTCATGTGTGACTAAAATTGATATGGAAAAATAGTTTTACAGTGTGTAAGAATAAGAAATCAAATATATTTACAATGAAAAAAAATCAGGGTCATTTTCAGTATATAGGGTGAGTCGTGAGTCAATATAGTGTGTTTCTCTCTCGATATTAGCCAAATCGTCAGATATATATAGACCAAGATATCAGCTGATGATGAGATTTTTAAATGGGACACCCTGTTTTTAAATGCACTTTCGAATGCACTGTCAAAATTGCTACATAACTGTTTTTTTTGTTTTTTATATTTGACTCCACGACGGTTGCCAAGTTACTCAACTATTTCTGTGAAAAGCTGATTATATATGTAGAGGCCTTTGAGAAAATTATTGTGATTCTTATTTGGACATTGGAACAAAATAATTTCACACGATAGAGTCCAAGATGTGTTCAATTCGTTCCTACAAAATCAGAAATGTATACTTTTCGAAAACTGACAAAGATAACCTATCAATATATTAAATCTTTTTCAAATCAGAAAAAAAAGCTCTTCCGATTAGAAAAATGGAAAACTGGGTATCCCAAATGAATAAATAAAATGGCGAGCTATTATTCGCACTCCACGTGCAAAGATGTTCCATTCTGAAACTTGCTATAGTACCGAAATTACATTATTTTGAAAATTCATAATTTCGATACGATTCCATGAAATTTCATGTGTTGAAGAATGGTATACCAAATTTTGAATAGTTCCGTATTCCTATAAATAAGTCTCTACAAAATGACGAATGTTTTTGCAACTCATTTCAATAACTGATTTTATAGTACACCTCTTTATATATAAGTTAACAAAGCGAATTATCCCATCCTAAATGAATACGAAATTTTAAAATATTTGTGTTAACTCATGACGAAATGGCACAACATATTGCATTATTGATATATCCATCCAGATCCTCTGTATAAATAGGTGAAGAAAGCGAATTTCAAAATTTTTTCATCATTATATGGAAATATTCCGAAGCAAAACACCAACCATGTGATGAATGGCGAATGCATGCCTCCATATATATCATACAAAAACACTTACCATCTTGAAAAAATACAACTTTCACACACTCAAATGAAAATACAATCACTAAGCCGAATATGAATTCCAACTTTCCACTTTTAAATAAGTACTTCGAGTTCTTTTTTTGTTATCCCTTGAAACGACTGTTCGGGATGAGGTCTAGAACGAGACTGCTGATTGGTTTGATGTGTTTGATGCATCATTCAGATATGACTAATTAGTTACGTACATCCTTTTAGCCGATTCATTCCCGAATGAGTATGACTGATGCCGATAGTAGGTATACGGGGTGGAGTGGAAAGAGATTTCAGGATATTTCCTCTTATTTTCTTATCTATACGAGGTGTTTTTGAAATGAGTTCATATATTCAGCATATCAATGAAATATAGGCTTACGGATATTCCCATGATATCCGATTTTTGTTCATTTTTCTAATTAACGAGAAATTTGATCTTGAAAATTTCATAAAATCGAAAAATAAAACAGATACGCCACCTCAAGGCAATTTAAATAATTGAACTCCGCGTGAATCCGCACGGAAATTTGTACAGAGGTGACGTCAGAATTGCTAACAGTGTAGATCTTTGTGTGGAAAAAGACTCTCACCCTGGATTTTATTCGATTCCTATATTTTTTCTATGGGTGCCCTTTGATAGTAGTCGTCGAAATCATTTTTAGGGTTTGAAATATTTGTATTTATTTCAATGTCACCTGTCACCCTGTAAATTAGGCTGAATTAGGTTAGATTGGGTACATTATTACCAGCCAACAAACAGAACCGCAAAACTCTGAAAGAGAGCTGATGGACTGTACCTGAAAAGGTAGTCAGCCAGCTCTCTTAAGTGAACTACAACACTCATTACACACATTGGGGCTTGCAAAAAGGTCCCATGAGGGACTATATAGTCCCTGATGTTCAAAAACGTCCCCCACTTCCACCAGTAGGTTAGATTTCTAAGAAAAAGTAGTCTCCTTTTTTACGGTCACCTGCGAAAACGTTCATTCAAACGCATTTGCATGTCATTCTGACAGATGAAAAAAAAACGAAAATAATGGACTGAACGATTTAGCTCATCCTTGGCCTCATTTCAAATGGGACCACGTGGACCACGGTCCGATCCATGAGTCTGACTGTGATCTGAACGAATTGAGACAAATTGACCTCATGACTCAACGTCCCGCTGAACTCGAATTGCAAAAATTGTAACTCGCAAAACACACATGTCTTGAAAAATCAAATGAAAGCCATACCTAAAATTCCATTATTTATTATTCATATAAAAGTATAAACTCTAGAAGAGTTAAAAATATTAAAAACTACAATCCCATGAGCAAAGCAAAAGTATCGACGGCCTTACTGGACCCCTGAGACGCCTGCCGGACGCTCATCTCCCAAGTGTCCAGCAGCTGCGACACCGAAAAGTGCTTTGGCAGCTTCTTCACCCTGGCGTTCAGCGCCCCCTGCACCGTCGAGAGAAACTCCGTCGCGTTGTACTCGTGCGGTGCCGTGTGCACTGTGGGCGATATTCTCGGGTAGTCCTCGGGCACCACCACGGATATGGGCGGCACGCAGGGCAGGTGCTTATCGTCGAGGCAGCAGATGAGCTGGATGGACTTGGAGCCCGGCTGCTGGTTCGAGTCGAGCGAGACCTTGAAGCGCTGGTCCAGGCGGGCGATCTCGCCTTGCAGGACGTCAGGGATGTCGCTGGTGGGTTCTTCGATTTTCACCTTCTTCAACGGTGGCACCAACCTAGAATAGGGAAATAAGATTCGTTCATCATCAAATAATCCATTTATAAATCATTAAAATCATCCATATCTCAAAGTGGTCCAAAGTAATTTCGAAAGAAAAACAAATAGCTCCAAGTCGGTCGACCACACTTTATATAAAACAATCAAATTCTACATGTAACCGGTTTCGGCGCAATGGCCATCATCAGACAAAAACGTATCAAAGTATAAAGCTAATAAGTAGCATTATGGAACAACAAACATATGATGGGCAACTCAAGTCGTCAACGGGCTGTCAGTATGTGCCTGACTCTGAGAGTCTGAGAGTCATGCTTTTTTTTCCATAATGCTATTTATTAGCTTTACCGGTTACATGTAGATTTTGATTGTTTTATGTAAATTGTGGTCGACCGACTTGGAGCTATCTGTTTTTCTTTTGGAATCCACTAATACAGAAAATAAATGAAGAGTGATAATGTAACCATCTTCCCACAAAAAAACTTTAACCACAGAAGATAATATATGTTGAAGGCAATTGAAGCGAATCTTGCATCTCTTTTTCAGTTCATTTTTTTTGCAGATGCACGAGTTTATTCAATCCATGATATGGCCGAAAAATATACTTCGTAGAAAGAAAGTCAATTTAGACAGAGTTAGGTTAGATTGTTTAGAAAACGTAGTCTCCTTTGTTATCTTGCAAATTTTGCTTTCGCTCGGCTTCGCTAGACGCTCCGCCTCGCAAATACATTCGCTTGTCAAACAAAGTGTCAGTTTTGATCCTAATGAAACAATATACTATTATTATCAAAAAACCTGCAAGTTTTCTTATAGTAGATGACGTTACTATTTCGTGTCTAAGAGGATCGAAAACTGAGAATTTTCAACAATGTATATCAAGGTTTATTGTATATGCTTTATTAGTATAGCAGTTACCTCCCCAAGACGTGGTTTCAATGTTATTATAAACGGCAATCAACAGAATATTAGATCTACCTACCCCTTTCTGAATTATTGACTCCCAAAGTAAAGTTCACTGAATAAAAGGAGCAACGGTCACGTATTCACTTACTTGATTTCGGGTCCGAAAAGGGCATCCATGGTAGGCCCGAAAGTGCGATGTAACGTGTGATTGATAACAGGATTATGCAAATTATTCGTGACGGCATCCAGCAAAGTGTGGAAGACGTGGGGTTCCTTGAAGGGGGCGCTGGACGACGGAACGCTGCTGTCCGCTCTTCTGAAATCGATTTTCTCGAGGACAATCTCGCACTTGATCAGCGTATCCAGAGGCATCCTCTGCTGGGGATTGGAGAGGATCTCTAGGAGTTTCTTCATCTTGCTCATTTTCTCCACATCTAGAATACCCCCCCAATCATGTTTTATCACACTCTCTTCCAATATATATAATCATATGGAATAATTGGATGGGGTGGTATGTATGAAACTCATCTTAAACCTTTTTTATGTATTCAAAAATATGTTTAGGAAATAATATTCCGTAAATCATTTGATGATCCATTATTAAAAAAATATATATATTGAATGTTAGGTAATGTGTAAGAAACAAAATCAACAAAGTAGGACTTGAAAAACGCATCTCAGAATTTCAGAAAAACATTCTAGTTTCATTGGATCTAAAATTTATAATAAAACACCATCAAAATTAAAATGCCTGAATATCATAACTTTCAGAAAAGAAGGTACAAGTTGGCTCAGAGAAAATGCGAAAAAAATCGATGATCTTATTTAATCAACTCTATTTTTCTTTTTTTCAATTCATTCTCATTATTATATGAATTGATTATTTGTTTTCAGTTCAAGTATTTATATTATGGAAAAATAATTTTATAAGTGGAATAATTCATCTCTTTCACACATTCAATAAATGAATAAATTAATGAATGAATCATATTCTGAGGTAAAGGTGGATTGACGGAAAGCGGCGATACGATATTTCACTTTTATGTGAGTAATGATCATTATTTTTTAATCAACACTTTTATTAGCTTAAATGAACCCATTGATTTGAAATTTGGCATCAGGTGTACATTATTCTGGTGGCATGCATCATGAAATTTTTGTTAGACAAAAAAACAAAATAACGGCTCCAAAATGGCGGACGGGTTTTGTAATTATGATCCGATTCTGTTCAAAATTGGTATCTGGGGGTTTTCTGAGCTGGCAGATCCAATATGGCGAAGGAGTTTTGTAATTATGATCCGATTCTATTTGAAATTGATATCTGGGGGTTCTCGGGGTCGGAGATTATGATTCTTTCGTCAAAATTAGGAAATTGAAGGTGGCGGATCCAATATGGCGGACGAGTTTTGTAATAATTATGATCCGATTCTATTCAAAATTTGAATCTGGGGGTTCTCGAAGTCGGAGATTATGATACTTAGGTAAAATTGGAAATTTCAAATTGGCTTCTGAAGACACAAAGACAAAGGAAATAACCGTTTCTCACCTTTCCTGTCCATCTTTGTGATCATCTTGTGCAACGTATCAATATACTCTGTAATTACTTTCAAAACCTCATATTTATAACGATTCCAGTATATATATTTATGATGACTTTCAATGACATCAACGAGGTTTTATGACTTACAGAATGCTGGTGTTCCGCAAGGATCAATTCTAGCACCAACACTATTTCTACTCCATATCAACGATTTGTTGGAAGCAACTTCATATCCAGTACACAGCTTCGCGGATGATCCATACCGCCTTTTCTTCCAGGGCTCCAATACCAGCCAGGCAAATCAGAAACGAACGAGGAAGAAATATGTTGACAACATACATAATATGGACTTGGCAACAATTCTCGAATAAGGATTCAATAACTTGGTAGATTTCAATGCAAACAAAACACAAGTATGCCTTTTCTCTAGAAAAGCCGATCTCACTGTGCCCAACATAAGCTTGTCAGGAGTAACCTTACCTTCGAAGACATCCATTTCAATGCTTGGTATTACTATCAGCAATAACCTTTACTGGGAAAATCACGTGAGATCAATTGCTAAAAATGCTTTCCAAAAACCTGGTTTTCTGTTTCGAGCCACGACCTATTTCACTTCCAGTCAGCTGCTTATGATCTATAAGGCACAGATCCGACCTGTCCTGGAATACTGTTCCCATATTTGGAGTGCAGCATCCAAACATACCCTGAAACTGTTGGATTCTGTCCAAAAAAGGGCAATTCGTCTCGTGGGTGATGCCTCGCTCGCACAAACTCACTCACTTCTCTGGAACACCGTAGAAAAGTTGGCGATCTGGCTCTATTTTATAGATATTTTCCTGGACGATGCTCTTCTGAAATATCAACAATTGTTCCAGCCTTGGCAGTCCCCGCGAGATTAACCTGTCGAGTTGAGGCTTCGCACCCCTTCGTGGTCACTTTGATGGAGACCTGCAGAACATCTTTTACCAAAGACTCTTTCCTGCAACGAACAGCAAGGCTCTGGAACACATTCCCAAGAGAGGTGTTCCCCGAGGCATATAACCTCCGGAAATTCAAGAAGAACACCAATTTCTACCTTATTTCCCTTGGTTCTCACGATGTTCTCTGAACATTACAGGATATCACTTTTCGTGGCAACCAGAACATGAAAAAAAAAAATCAACCGTTCCTCACCTTCGTTCCCCATCTTGGTGATCATCTTGCGCAACGGGTCGATGTACTTCCGCAGATGGCGCACCTTCTCCATGTAGGCCTGCTCGTCGGTCATGGCCGCCCCGCCCGGGCTCTGACCCGGCTGCCCGGCGGGCGTATTCAGAGAGCCGCCCGGGCTCGGCGCCATGCCCACCGAGCGCGGCATCATGCCCGGGGAAGGCGCGAGGGAGGGGGAGGCGACCGGCTGCTGCTGCCCCATGCCGGCCGGCGATTGCGCAGATGGCGTCGGGCTCTGCTGGAACATTTGGGGAGGCGGGGCGTTGCGCGGGAAGTTTGCGTTCATCTGGTTGATCATCATCGTCGGCGGTTTTTGCTGGGCCATTTGGGGCATGCCGCCTTGGGGAATAGAGGCTGTTAAAATGTGCCCGAAATTTGTTTCTTACTTGATTCTATTTTAAATAGGTTAATTAGTCCCATCAATCATTTGATAAAAGTTTCAGATTCTATTAAAAAATTACTTGAATAAAATATCTGCATTATAATATGATACTATAATATGATACACCGCAACAAATCAATTAAAGAGAGTAACAGAATCATTTTCATTAAAATAATTGTTCAAAATCGAGAATATGAAAATTTCGTACAAAATATTTTTAATTATTGTGCTATTGATATTAAAATCCAATTATATTGCAACAAGAAAATGTTATATTCAAGATCACCAAACTAGACAACATGATTTATTACACGTTCATGTTGCTAGCTCTTCAATAGGACAAACAAATTCAATAGGTATATAACAATAATAATAATAATAATAATAGATTTTATTGGCAGGTATCGGTAAATACAAACTGAACGAAAATTGATAGGGAGCTGAGAACTGTATACACCTATCAAACGACAGAATTCAAGTTCAGATCATGTCACCAGTGATAGTGACGTAATCAGAACTTGCTCTTCCATTCAACCGAGGGATAAAAATAGTTATCGCTATGTTATACATAAACCTATAACCAAATATATAATTATTTAAATTTACACATGAATATAAGTCATCATAATGGAATGAATAATGACTTTTAATAAACATTGATAATTGAAGTAGATACTGTTTTTGTATTCAACATACATAATAATATATATAGTATATGTGCATCGCATGCACATGTTGGATGCATACCTATACATCATAGTAACTGAGGCAAAGAGTTATAGAGTAAGTCAGATTACAGTTTTTTCCTGAAATTTGGAATCGATAATGTTCATTGAATTCGGAAGTCGATTGTAAAGCCAGGCGATATTATATGAGAAAGAGCCACGATAAAAAGTAGTTTTATGAGGTGGTATTGAGAGATTATTTCTGAATCTAAGATTTAAATTATGAATGTCAGTTCTATAGCTTTTATCGTGGAGATAAGGTGTTTTTGTAGTGATAATTTTATGGTAGAGAATACAAGCATGAAATACACGTCGGGCCTCCATATTTAACCATCCTAAATTATTTATTTGATGGAAGATACCAATTGATTTTTGGTTTTTGTTCACCTATATAGGATGAATTTGTAAACATTTGATATTCAATGAATTTGAATTGTTCATGAATTTCTAATAACTGTATAGTTAGTATTATTGTCAACTACTCCCTTATACCAGAACTTGCTTCTGACTGGAAGATATGTTTTTAATAAAATATATAATAGTAAAACAAACTGAAAGTTTCATTATATGTAAGTAACCTTAGAATTGACAAGATAAAACTGGAATTATGTATTGTCTGAAAAACACAGTTCAAACTGTTTTTCTCTAGGGTCCCTTGATGTAAATTGACGTATTTGTCACAGGGTACGAACAGATCCTCGTTATATAGTTCCATCTTTATTCATTTCTGGGGATAAACACTAGATTTCTGACATTTGTTTTTTTTTTAGGTTATATTGAGGACATTGGCGTATCATACGTAATTTCCACATGTAATCTCTCATTCAACTCTACATATTATATCCAAATGATGATAATTTTCGAGTTTTTGATTTTTCAACTCCAAAATAATCTTTGTGAGGCAGTGAGCAGATTTTTCTGAAAGTTTAGTACGTTTTAGCAAATGGAGCTGTTCTTAGGCAGTACCTATCAATAATTGAATTTTGATAAATATTGACTATAATCTGTCCGAACCCTGTTATATGACAAATAAACCAGTTTGCATCAAAGGACTCTAGTTTTTCCTAGGAAGCTTCGTTTGGAATCGGGTCTTTACAGTACGACATATCACAAAAACACAATTCAATCATCCCCACCCATCATCTGGTTCTGCATCTGGCCGCCCATCCCACCGCCCATCTGCATCTGCCCGCCCATCGGCCCGCCCATCTGGCCCTGCCCGGGCGGCTGCAGCTGCCCGCCCAAGTGGCCTGGCATCTGCGCCATGCCTCCCGACTGCATCTGCTGTAGGCGGATCTGGTTGGCCATCTGCACGGTCATCTGATTGCCGCCCATGGGGCCGGCGTTGGGCGGCATGCCCATGTTGGGGCGGTCCTGGAACGACAAGTTTGTGGTGTGATCTTACACCTTGTATATAGAATGTTTTGATTTTTGAAGGATTAGATTGTCATTGTCAGAAAATTAATTAATTACATCTCTCAGAAGTTAACCTTTTCTACTTTTTTCATTGTGATACTATAGGTCGCGTGCACGAAGACCGACCCTGGAGGCAAAATATTGAAACACAACCTCATTCTTCTGTGAATTATTGAAACACAACCTCACTTTTTTATTTGGTTACAGAGGAATCAAAAGGTTGAAATAGTTTTTCACAATATTTTGGCATACGAATCGTGTTTCTTGCGTTATTCATTAATTCAAGCATGCCTTCGCATTGTGCTGTTGTACAATGCAAAAAAAATGCAGCAAGAGACTAGGGAATATGATTTTTCAGGTAAATAGTAATCTCAAATAGTTAGCATTATGAAATGTTGTCATTCCTTATAAAAATTCATTCTGCCTTCTGCCACTTCTGCAATACAAGCTAATGCTGCTAATAGATTGAAAATGTCTACAACACACACGATCGTCAGCATGTCAGACCAGTCCTACCGATTGATTGCATGAATCCAATCTTCTTGCATTTTTCTAGAAATTTCAGGTTTATTTCTATTAGCTGATCCTATTGCAGAAGGAATTCCGATGAGAAATCAGAGAAATAACCAAATTTCAAAAATGAAAACTATGTGAGTGTCTATAGTAGGTACTTACTTTTGAATCATAATGTACCATCCGGATTTCTTCATCTTCCGCTGCAGTTTTTGTGCATTTTACAACAGCACAATGTGATGGCATTAGCGAATTGATGAATAGCGGAAAAATACGATTCATATGCCAAAATAATTGTGGAAAACTATTTCGATCACTTGTAAACAAATATGTTTTGCCTCCAGGGTCGGTCATCTGACAGTTCTTGCACGCGACCTATTGTATCTACAATTTGGTGACCCTGACGTTAACGATAATGAAGTTATTAGGAGATCCTACTGAATCAGAAGTAGTTGAAGTTCTGAAATATTTCAACGTATCCATCGGCAATAACATTGATGGACATATTCAGCAGAACATGGTGGAAGAATTGGTGAAAAACGAATACCCAAATAATTTCCATGATTATGATTTCACAAATATTGTGGAAAATTTTAGTTGCCAATCCGAAATAGATGAGTCTTCAGTGCTTCTGACTTTGAGCAAGAAGATTGATAAACTCGAAGAATTATGTGGTTTATTCATTAAGAAAACTGAAGATAATGATAATAAATATGAGGAATTGGTCAGTGCTTGTCATAGTCTACAAAAAACGTCAAAACAGCAGTGTCCAATACATTTAGGAACTCTAGTTTCAACTTTTGATTCATCATCTACTGACATTTAATTTGTACAAATACAGGGTGGTTCAAGAATCAGAATTTTGATCACTGGGAACGAATGAAAATTATCAATCACTTAATAAATAAAAGAATGAATCAATGAACAAACGAATGAATGAATAAATGATTGGAAACATGAATGAATGACTGAATAATTGAACGAAAATACGAAAATAACTCTCTGAAAACCGCATACCTGCATGGTCAAAGGCCCGCCCATACCGCCGCCCATATTGCCCATCATCATCTGCTGGGCGGGGCCCCTGTTCAGCGTCTGCAGCAGATTGGAGGCAGGCGCCTGCTGCTGCGGCCCGCCGCCGCCCATCTGGCCAGGCTGCGGGCCGCCCATCGTCATCATGGGCTGGCGGCTGCCCTGGCTGGCGAGGTTCTGCAGCGCGTTGATGGGGTCGGGCATGCCGGGGCCGCCCTGGGTCGGGCCGCCCGACATTCCGCCGCCTTGTTTCGGTTCTGAAATGCGGAGAGAACAATAGAATATAAATACTGTCTGTAGGTTAATCGAGGAGGTGGTACATTTATTTTACTTGATTTTTTGGGATTTCCTCTACTCGTTTCTATCATATAAAATTAAAAAAAATATGCGTATTATTTCAATATATTTGTAGTGGGACAAATCAGATGATTTGCCCCAAATTGTAAGTAACTTCGCGCATTGTTTTGTGCAAGATATCATGGTAGCGTAGGAAACTGAAAAAGTGTCACTTCGCGATTTGTTATCAATGCGCTAACCTTGTCATTTTTTGACGTTTGTAGAAAAAAGCTCAAGTGTTAAGGAATTTCGCTGGAAGTTGAGCAATGACAGCTAACTTCAATTAAACAATGGATTCAAAGGGATAGGCTAATGAACTGGTATCGATTTTTTCTCATAAAACAATTGATTACACTGTGTTGTAAGATAGTTCAAAACATTTTTCGTACCACAAAGAAATTGTGTTGATTTTTCCCAAACCGTTTCCAAATCTTCATCAAAAAACCATATACAGACTTGTATTTTCATCACTCTATATCTCGAAAACGACGCGTTTGAAGATATATGTTTATATTATGTACTTTTTTCATTCTAATGAGTACAACACACTGTTGAATTTTTTGTATTACAAACCGGACGACCCTGTATTATACATATTCGAGAAAAAATTCAGTAAGGATAAAAAAAATTAGTATAAATGAAAAAACATGATCTAATAAAAAAAACAGTTTTAATTTTTTGTCAATCAGCATGCATTTATCTCATGAAACTACCAAAATTGTCATATATATATATAGCGAACGGTTGATCTGATTCGGCTCGAGTTTACCTTTACATCCATTCTTCTCCTAAAATACCCCTCCAAAATCAGAAAATTCGAAAATCCAAAGAATAGATACTTTTCTTTGTATTTCTTGTCTGTCAGTATTATTTTTTTTATATAAAAATTTCGAAATTGTCATCACTAGCGAACGGATGATCTGATTCGGTTCGGGTTTGTCTGTCAGCATTCATACTTCCCAACTAGGAAAAAGCCAAAATGCTCAAAGTGAAATGAAATGTTAAAAAAATAGATACAAGCTCATTGGGCTTATATCACAGAAAATTTTTATTTTATAATTCGATAGAACTCACCCAAACTAGCTCACCACCGCAAACCGTTTCTTGCTGTGAGCTCCCTACGTTTCATAAAAAATTATTGAAATCCCCGATTTTTCGGACCTCTGAAAACAAGGCGATGATGTGACGTCAAAACCCTAATACTGAAACAAGACTATTCCAGGCAGAAATGAATGATACATCATTTCTGACAGAGGGAATTAGCGCGAGATCACAGTTGAAAGAATTAATATATCAGTTGCCTCAGTCTCCGTCGGGCGTTTGGTATTTTCTTTTAACTATGGCGAGATGAGGTTTCTACGTCATGAGAGGGTCCGTTTTCAGAAGGTACAATTATTTATGTCCAAAAATAAAGCATTCCAGTTAATTTTTCGATCGAATTTTGTCGTCAATCATTATTTATGTATAAAAGGATCATTATTAACATGGTTTGAGTTAAAAGTTCTACTAAGGTGTACACGCCCATTGCATCACTATTCGTTTATTTGAATAGATGCATAATAGATTTCGGGAGGATGTAATTCAATGTTCTGCGTGGTATTAGTCAGGAAAGTACTTGTTTTTCTCCCGTCATCTACCATTGATGCTCATTTTCCGAACAATTGTGGCAATGACTTTAAGCTTGTAGTTATCTATTTATTTATTCATACTTCACAGAAAATTCAACTCCAAAATCAGAAAATTCGGGAATCCAAAACATCGATTTTTTTTATATAGGTAATTAATTGTCTGTCAGCATTCATTTTTTTCATGAATATTCCAAAATTGTCATATCTACCGAACGGAGTGCCAAATAAAGCCGGATTCGGAAAAATTAAGTATGAAGAATTCCAATGAAATTATGTTCTCACCGGTTTTCACTATAATATTCCGATGGATTCCAGGAGTTCCAAGAATTATAAAGCTTCAATTTAGGAAGAAATCCGAAGGAATTCTACAGAACTTCAATAAAAATATAGAAATTTAACAGCAATCAGGCCCATTTTTAAGAACACAAACTCTCAATTTTCGAAGGGATTCCAAAAAGTTCCAAAGAATTTCAAGGATTTCAAATGAAACCAATTTTTTTTCAGTTTTTGTAATGGTAAAATCTAGTCAAATATCACTCAGCCAATCTAATACTGATATATCTTATTATTATAAAAGACCTAATATCAATAAAAATTTCACGTTTGAATCGCATCCTTTTTTGTTTGAATATTTCCGCATCTTGTTTCAGTTCTAAAACAGATTAAATGTTTTTTTAAATAATTTCATATAAACTCCTAGATAAACTAAATATTTTGCGAGTTTGTTATTTCAGTAGGTACCAGCCTATTTCAATATACCTTAGTTTTGTGTACCATGAGGAGTAATCTCAATGGATTTTTCTGAACTGAAATGTTAATTTACCAAATACAATTAAATTTTTCTGACTAATAAGGTTAACAAAAATGTTTAATTTTCGTTGAGCAGTAGAAAAAGGAAAATTAGTCTCAGGAATCTACTAAGGCTGACTGTATATGTAATTCAAAAACAAAAGGTTGCTGGACACATGTTCATTTCATATTTTGATGCCAAGTATATGTTCCACCATGTATACATCAATTCCTTATGGGTTAGATAAATTTTGTTTGAAAACACTGTACAATCTTTCATTGACAGAGAGACTCACCTTTCTATAGTTTAATTATTTGTAGTTATGGAACACTGCTTCAATGAAACTGGTCACAGAGTAAAATAAAAACATAACTATAGGTACTGGTAAAAACATTTTCTGACAAAACAAACAAATTATGATACATTTATAAAATCAAATCAATGAATAGGTATCTGCCATTGTATTTTTTTAATTGAACTAATGCAATAATAACAGACATGGATATGTAAAACCTCAGGCTGAATAAGATAAGAAAAACCAGAATGAAAAACAGAACTTTTTTATTACCTACTGGCAAAAAAATCGCACAGTTTATAGTTTCATATCTGGGAACTAGATAAGGAGTATTCATTTATGTTATTTATACATTAATTGAGTGGTAGCTGTTCTAGAAAAACCTTCATTGTTTTCTGCTTTGCAATACTATATTTTCCTTGTAGTTATATGATTGTTTTTCACTGTGAGCCCCTGAATAAAAATTGAAAATATAAATAGAATACTAATGATGTAGCAATTTGAATGAATACATTATGAGGAACCACTTTCATCATAGTCTACAGTCTATCAGAACCACTTCAGTTTTTTTTTTAATTAGGATCTTTAAGCTTGTAACAAATTATTTGCATAAAATTTTGATTTTTCACCAATAACCCACAAAAAATTGCTTGAAATATTGGGTGCCAATGAAACATGTATTCAGTTGATTCAGCATACATACATAAAGTGAACGATATGTACCTCAAAATCAAACATGAAAGGCATGATCATACAACCATATAAGGAAGGTATGAATACCTATGGAGAACATTCATTGAACTACAGGCATTAAGCATAACATAGGAATATATTTGATTATGGATATTCTTTGAAACAAATACAAACCAAACAATTAGTTATCAGCAAGGTTACCAATATGTTATTGAAATTCAGGATCTGAATGTTTTTATCAATACTAATACTGCTAATGATATACTAATTGTATAATCAACTAATGATCATAATAGCTATAACCAAGTATAACTTTGTACCATAGTCTCAGAGATTAAATTGATGATGCACTTACTCATTTCTCTCACATGAAGAATCAATCTGGCCACAAATCCTAGATATTCTTCTTTGGTTTTTGCTTTCTGGAAGACATGATTTTCCATCTCAAGACTATTTCTTGAGGTATTCATTCCAGATTGACGGATTGCTTCATCCCTTCATGGATATGAATAGGAAATTCGTTATTAAAAAATTATGAAGTTATTATGTTGTCTAACTTACACTTTTGCTACAACACTCTGCCTAAATGCAGGTGTTCTCCAAGAATTCTCGTCCGTCATTGATAAGGAGGCTTACAAATCACCTATTATAGGAAAGAAGACTACAGCAACAGGGTAGGACCCAAGAACTTCAGAAAGACACTACCACTAGTTTTGAAAACATCAGATTTTCATCAGAAAATCAGAAAACCAGAAAATGGTTAACAAGCATCAAGCACAAGAAAAGAGAACTTTGGGAGTTTGGTATATCATTTATCCAAAGAATATTCGGTAAAACTGCATTTAGCATGCGATGGGTTTTTTTTCGAAAATTTTTTTTGGTACTTACGTATTTTTGTCTGAAAAACACGAATTTGATAATGAAAATGTGAACAAACCATTATTTATCAAGATATTTCACTATAAAGTTTCAAATTTCACCTTCTTTTCCGCCTGTCTTCTGGATTGAATTTTAAACAATTCACCCTTCTTTTTTCATCATTGGACAATTTATATATATCACAATGTAAGACACATTTTTTTCTATTATTGAGTCAACTAGAAATATGATTTTCTTGTGATTTATCCATATTTATTGAAAAGAAGGAAGAATATCATTTGAAATAATGGCGTGTGTAATGTCATTCCAAAACAATCTATTGACATTTGACATCTCGTATTTGGATTGCCTATGGATAAAATGGCCGTCATCTGGTATGCTTGCTCACTAAATAGGAAAAACTCACCATAAAAATCATATTTCCTGTTGAATTTTCTGTATAAAAATGTGTCATTGAAGTACATCATGAGTATATAAAGTGTCCAATGACAAAATAAGAAGAGCAAGTACCTGAAAATGCATCCAACGCAAGGGGAAAAAGGAGTCGAAATTTCGAACTTTTTTTTGAAATATCTCGATAAATAGTGGTTTGTTCACATTTTCATTATTATATTCGTGTTTTTCAGACAAAAATACGTAAGTACCAAAAAAAAATTTCGAAAAAAAACCCATCGCATGCTAAATGCAGTTTTACCTTATATTCGATAAAATCTTTATTAATTAAATTCCATTTTGATTTAAGGTCTAATAATATTTATTATTATTAACAATATTTAACATCCTTCACCTTCGCACCACAAACAAATCAAAAGTCAAAACAAAAAACCAAAAGAACATAAATTAACGAGTCAAATCTGTCAAAAAGGATCTGTCAATTACTCCCACTCGTCGCACTAGCTCGAACTTCTCCTGCACTGAACATTTCTTGTCTTTCTTTACTTTGTGTAATTATTGAAGGATGGATGCACTGCATACCTTGGGTCTTGTTTATGATCTAAGGTTGGATTAGAGTCTATTGCCATTACCGGCAATGCACGAATACAATCCGACCTGAAGTGAAATACAACAAATCTCTCAACAATTAATTCTCGAGGTGTGGATTGCTTCCTTTTCTTTTTTCAAGTAATCAATCGGCGAAAATACTTTGGAAACACTTACTGTTGAGGCCGATAGTGTGATTTTTCGCTATTTCAATGACGTTTTTCAGCATTGGAATTGGAAAAAAATTTGAGAAGAAGATTATATTAACCTCAATTGACGGCTTGACAGTTTTGTTTTGAGTGTTTTGACAGGCATTCATTTTCATTCAAAATTTTCAAGAATTGATTTGTTTTGTTTATGGTCTCAAAATAATAAAACCTTTTCTTCGAAAGTAATTGAAAAAAATACAAAATATAATTGATCACACAAATACCTACAGGATGGAAAACTGTTTTAATTGGTGAAGTTATTCAACATTCTGAGATTTTTGAGGAACATCAATAATTTACCAAGTGTGTTCAGCTATGGAATCCCCACTTGCAAAGTTAGATTTTGAGAAAATCTGCAGAATATGTATGAACGAGGGCACCATGATGTCAATTTTCAAAGTCAATGTATCAAAGAAAATGATGGCCTGTGCGGCAGTTCAAGTATGGCCAAATGATGGCTTACCTGCACAGATTTGTAACAGATGTTCAGCCAAGCTCCATATTGCTTTTCAGTTCAAAAAACAATGTGAAAAGTCTGATGGAAAGCTACGTCAAATGAAATTTAATAGACCACTTGATGTCCCACAAGAACAAGTACAGTTGCAAGAAGAAATCCAATCAAACCAAGTAGAACCACAGCAAGTCATCACACAAGAACTGTCTCAAACAGTACCTCAAAATAACTGTATTTACATTGGATGTAACCCTGGGGCTGAGCCAATTCAGGGCACATTCATTTCTACAACTCAGACTCAACCTCAATCCTTGGGACAAATGGGTTATCAACCTGAGAATAATGTGCAATTAAGTGCTTATAGTTTGAATGATGTTGGTCAACCACAGGTGTATACTAGCATCAGTGGGACATTTGATATACCTTTACAGCCTGTTACAGGGATTTTGCATAATCAAATGGCACATCAAATTCAAGTATGTCAGAGAAACTGTTGGATACCAACCAAATGAAAAGTATAAGTTAAATTCTAGGGTGAACTTATCAGTATAACCATGCAATTCTAGTCAAGTACTAATTATGAAACTATTAGTAGGTTATCTCTCATAACTATTGGGTGGCAATTCACCTAGGATATTTTGTGGAAATTGAAATCTCCTGTTCAGCACAGGCCAAAGCAACAGATCTTGAGAATTTAATTTTGTAGGAAAAGATCTCTTTCAAGTGATTTGATTTTTGCTCAGATTTTTGCTCTAGGGAAAAAAATGAAAAACTTTTCTTCTTCTAGTTGCAAACCCAACATGTTACCTCTCTACAACCCCCACCATTACAACCTAGACCAATAGTGCAAACAGAGGACAATGATGACAAAAGCCCCACTGAAGGCTCTGAGAAACAGTGCCCCACCTGTAAGAAAGTATTTGGAAATGCTAACAAACTTTCCAGGTAATTTTCTCCTACAGAAAACTATTTCTATTTATAATGAATTGATGAATATTCTCTACATTTCAGGCACAGGAAGACCCATTCACCTGATATGCCTTACAAGTGCAAGGTTTGTGCCAAGGCTTTCTCTCACAGTGGTAATTTTAAAATTCATATGAGAATGCATACTGGGGAGAGACCTTTTAGGTGCATGGTGTGTGGAAAAGGTTGCAGACAAGCACAAGACTTAGAGAAGCATATTCGAACTCATACAGGTCAGTAGCAAACATTGTCCAATATAACAGACTTACTCTTTAATTCTATTGTGTGAATTTTTATGTAATTTATTAAATTTTGAGAACAAACTCAATTTTTAAGAAGACAGGTATCTTGAGGACCAAGAGGATTAGAGGGTGAATTGAGACAAAGTTTTATAACTGGGGAAAATATCACAATTTACAAGTAAAAGACAGAATTTCAATCTACATGATTCTATTTTCACTAGTTGTTTACCTTCTTTATATAAATAAACGAATATATAAAAAAAACTGAGGGTAAATTCTGATGACAATTTTTTATAAAGTAGATTTTGGGTCAGATTGTGGAAAAATTGTTTTTTTTTTTAATTTTTTTAGTTCCATTGTACTGTTGAGAATTTGTTAATGCATTGTTTTCAAATTTTGACTCCCAAAAATCCACTCAGCAGGTGGCGATTTTTATGTAGAAATATCACTTTGTCCTGAGGTGCAGTTTTTTGTGTTCTACAAATCAAGAAATAATTTTAAATGGTTCCCTTAATCAAGTTGACTTTAGTGGCTTTGTATAAAATTTCATGAAAATTATGGTCCCAGATCCTTATGCCTAAGAATTTTCCAATACCTTAAATAAACATAGAAAATAAGTTCTTTTCAGATCTTTCTTTATGTAGATCCACACCTTGATCCACACAGTTCCCTCTCTTTCTATTTTTGGGGTTATATGGTCAGAAAAATAGTTCATGTTTCATTGACTTTTGCTTTGCTTTCTACAAAAATATATTTATATCAAATATTTACATACAGGCCTATTTAAAGGTTGCTGTATATTTTTATGAAATTTCATCGCTAAACATTTTTTAATGAGGTTTAATTCTCCTGTACAATGTGTCACTGTTTCCTGGAGTAGAGTAAGTTTATAGTAGTTTTTCATGTTATAGGTGAAAGACCTCACAAATGCGCGACTTGTCCAAAAGCCTTTTCTACCCGATCAAATCTTATCGCCCATATCAGAACTCATACGGGCGAGAGACCATATGTATGTTGTGTCTGTCAAAAAGGCTTCTGTCAGTCCAACGAACTCACGAAGCACATGCGGACACACACGGGAGAAAAGTCGCACATATGTGATATTTGTAACAAAGGTAAGATACTGTGTGGTAACTTTTTTCCACTTTTATGAGTCCAGAGTGGAAATGTGCTTGTATTGTTTCTAGAAACAACATTTTCATGATGAGATAAAAACATTAAACAAATATTGTTGTTACAATCCACAATATTATATCTTAGAAGATTGTAACTAATAATTATATCAATAAACGATCAAAAACTTTTATTCAGATCACTGACATCAATCTGACAATAATCTAAAAAATTCGAATGACATCCATCACTCTCAGTTTCAATAACAAAAAAATACAGGATGGTAAATTATTTCAATATTTAACTTTCTCCAACCTCCAGCTTAAGAAGACTGTTTACTGGTCTAACCAACGTCCATGGGTCTAACCAAAGTGCCCTCTTGTGTCTTGATTTCTATTGAAATAACTTACCATCCTGTATTATTTTGTTATTGAAACTGAGAGTGATGGATGTCATTAGAATTTTTTGAATTATTGTCAGATTGATGTCAGTGATCTGAATAAAAGTTTTTGATCGTTTATCGATATATTTTTCAGTTACAATCTTCTAAGATATAATATTGTGGATTGTAACAGTGGTCCTTCGAGCCGGATCACTGACATCAATCTGACAATAATTCAAAAAATTCTAATGACATCCACACAAAAAAATACAGGATGGTAAATTATTTCATTATTTAACAATTGTATTGAAACAAATGAGTCTCCATCAGTAAACTATAGTGCCATTGACAGACAGACAAATTTTGGTTTATTACTAACGACGTTTTTATCTGGAATGACAATATACTGAGGAAGCATGTCTTGGCTATTCATGAAATGACCGAATTTCACTATCAATACAGGTATAAGAAAACATCATTGAAATACTTGCAAAGTCTTCCTTTGAAACATCACTTGAAAATGAAAGAAAAAAATGTTTTCCGGATCTAAACACATTAGGTATCTACTTGGGCGTGTCAATTAAAGTATGGGCAAGTGGACTGACAATGAATTATTGGCATTCACTTACTCCACTGTGTCCAAATTAATTTTTGCAACACTTCAGATAATCTTCCATTTAATCTCATGAAGCAAGGTTGTCATGTCACCAATTATAATCAAGTTATCAAGAAGATTAGTCCACACATGTCGACAGTTGGCTAATCTCTGTCTTCAAGCTTCAAGTAAATTGCAACTTGAAAGACTTGAATCATTGTGGGAGAATGAATGGAATTAGCTGTTGAAACTCTTTGAATTATCCAAGGTGTCTTCCTATAAAACTAAGGAATACTTATTTGGCTAATAGATTTAGCGACAAAACCGCTAAGGCCTGGGTTCTCTGACCAGATCGGCCCGAAATATTTCGGCGAATATCAGCGTACAGAACGTGGATATTCGCCGGATTCAGTTCGTTCAGAAGTTTCGTCTATGTGTGGTTTGTCTGAAGAAAATTTCCGTAAATTTTCGTTCCGATATATTTCAGTCTTCTCGTAGGGTGTTTGCGGCGAAATCAAAATGAAAAATGGATTTTTTTATTGCTATGATTTTAGAAGAAGAATATGATGACGATGATGAGTATGCATTATTAGGAGTATGTACTAAAAATAATAAAGTTCTGAACATGTCGGAGAAAAGGGCCGAAGAAGGTGTTTATGAGTTGTTAGTGGTGAACCATCTTTCGGATAATGATACAAAATTCAGAGAGTTTTTCTGTTTTACTCCATCACTATTCCATGATCTACTGAATCATATAAAGCAGAAAATCACTTCGCTACCTACAAATAAGCATCCGATTCCTATTTCTCCCAAGTTAGGTGTCACATTGAAGAGTATATGCATAGTTTTCATGTCAAAAATAGGAAAATCAAAAAAGTAATATTTTATTTTTGTATACAAAAGTACTGACAGTAATGAGTTCTACCTTATTGTACATTGTATTATTTAGACAATGTATTATTTATAACTGCGTGTACCCAGGTGAGAAGGCAGTTATTTCGGCGAACTGTGCTGTTTTGAAATCGTTCAAATCAAATACTGGTTGATTCCGACGAACTGCTATCCGTTCACTTTCCCGAAATTTCGGTCCGATCTTTTATACAAACCGCCACTACGTACTACCATAGATCTAAATAGATCTATGGTACTACAAATGAGCTTGGTTTCACCGGAAACGCTAACGATCTTTCTGTGCTATATCACCGAAATATTTCGGGCCGATCTGGTCAGAGAAACCAGGGCTTAAGATGGCAACCCTGAGTTCGCAGGTCGCAATCGAAAAAGTAATATTTTATTTTTGTATACAAAAGTACTGACAGTAATGAGTTCTACCTTATTGTACATTGTATTATTTAGACAATGTATTATTTATAACTGCGTGTACCCAGGTGAGAAGGCAGTTAATCGGCGAACTGTGCTGTTTTGAAATCGTTCAAATCAAATACTGGTTGATTCCGACGAACTGCTATACGTTCACTTTCCCGAAATTTCGGTCCGATCTTTTATACAAACCGCCACTACGTACTGCCATAGATCTAAATAGATCTATGGTACTACAAATGAGCTTGGTTTCACCGGAAACGCTAACGATCTTTCTGTGCTATATCACCGAAATATTTCGGCTGATCTGGTCAGAAAAACCAGGGCTTAAGATGGCAACCCTGAATTCGCAGGTTTCAACGGATCCAGCACCCTGATTGTCCACCGGCGGTCGCACACCGGCGAACGGCCCTACGCCTGCGCGGTCTGCGAACGTGGCTTCGCGCAATCCAGCTGCCTGACGGTGCACATGCGTCGGCATGGCGACCACCAGAAGCACCTCTGCCAGCTGTGCTGCAAGCGTTTTCCCACCAGCGAGAAGCTGAGCGAACACGCTAGGATCGCGCATGCCGACGAGGAACCGGCTGAGAAGGCGGAGAAGACTTAGCGGTTGCGTAGTGGCCGTTGGGGGCTTGGATCAGATGATTTGCGGAGATGAGACTGTCGTTGATGATACGGCGCTGATAAGCAAAACCCCCTAGTCAGACAAGCTAGTCTAGCTAGGGTCCCTTAGGGTCCCTTGATGGAAAATGACGTTAAAGTCATTTTAACAGGTTACGGACAGATTCTCGTCTCTCACTCTAAAGTCCTTATTCAATTCTGGGGATAAACACTAGATTTTTGACATTTGTTGTTTTTTAGGTTATATTGAGGTCATTGGCGTATTATACGGAATTTCCATATGGAATTCCTGATTCAACTATACCAAGATATAGATGAACAATACTCTAGTTTTAGAGTTTACTACTCCATAATCTTTGCGAGGTAGGGAACATATAAATTGTACTGAAAGCTTTATATACATCACCAAAAAATACTGTTCTTAGACTGTATACCAGGGTTAATTGAATATATTGGCTGATTGAATTCTGATTTCAAGCTGAGCAGCAGTTTATTTAAGAGCTGAATGAGCTGAGCCTTATGATTGAGAAATGGTGAAAACCTCGATGTGGGTATCTAAACTACTGTACTCATATCATGTGTGTTTCTTAAATTTTATAATCATTATTGTTCATCTATATCTATATCTATATCTTGGTATAGTTGAAACAGGAATTCCATATGAAAATTACGTATGATACACCAATGAACTCAATATAACCTAAAAATCAACAAATGTCAAAAATCTAGTGTTTTTCCCCAGAATTGAACAAGGATGGAAGTATATATATAACTGTTCCACAAACACTAGAGTGAGAAGAGACGAGGATCTGAACGTACCCTGTTAAAATGACAAATACGTCAGTTTGCATCATAGACAATCTTGCATCAAGGGACCCTAGTTGTAGGTATCTACCAGAATTTTTATAAATTATAGTAAATTGATAAACAGGGAAGGGTTTTGCTTAGCAGGCCAGAATATTGAATCAAATAAAGATATTTGTGTGTACAATTATTGAATGGATTTTTTTTCTATCCTTGAAGTATACCTGCTGTGGAGGAAAAAACGTGCTACAAGCTTTCTTGTTTGCACTTATCATATAGTAAGATGAAAGTTCTATGAACATTTTGGGTATATACAAAACCATCTCCTTTATGAGATATATGGGGCGCTGACATTGAAAACTACGGGAAAACATGTCTAACTTTCAAGAGTGAGGATATTTTCCCGTAGTTCTAAGTGTCATCGAATCGTCATCTAATGATTTTGGCGATCGCGAATTATTGTTGGTGATGGAATAATAGTTATTTATTATACAAGGGAAAAAAGTAGTAGATTTTAGCTCCAGGTTGTGCTGTCTCCTAACGCGTAGCGGAGGAAGACAAAAAACCGTGAGCTAAAATCTAAAATTTTTCCCGTGTATAATGCACTATTTTTTTCTGTGACAGAAGAAAGGACGAATCAATATTGAGAAGATATTACATTATTTTGAAATCTGAAAATTATCGACATGAAATTTCAAGTTTTTAACAGTAATCAAATATCTGATGTCACTTCTGTCAGTCTAATTCTGTGATTTGATTTCAAAAAATTGCGAATTTAGTGGTTGGTTAGAAAAATACACGTATCCGCGAAGTCGAATGGAAGATAAAAGGACTTGCAGTTCTTTCTCGGAGACGGTATTATTGACTCATTTTTCGGAACTATATAGCACAACAGTGTATATATATATATATGTGATATATATCCGGGAAAAAAGTACTCACTTTTTTCCCACGGGAAAAAAGTAATTCATGAAAAGTGGCATTTTATAACGTGCCAACAGAGATGGAATGCCGAACTTTTTTCCCATCACAGAAAAAAAGAAATTTTCCGTCCGTTGACGTATATTTCCTTGTATACATTGAAAATTCTGCACTGCTAGCTCTCATTTCTGGTGCAATAAGATGTACGCCCCAGCAAAATGAAAAACCACAGGTATGTAAAATTTGATCTGAATATCTCATATTTTCCATTTCTGTCTTCTTAGGGCAACGTCCCTACTCCTTGTATTACTAGACCATCCTGTATAATGACACCCTATATATTTGTGGTTATCGTTAGCGTTAGGCAACTGGCATCACATCACCAAGGTTATGGCTGAGAGCCGGCCAATTATGAACCATTATTTGAATCGGTCGGCCAATCAGAAAGCACTTTACCCCATCCCACGTGATTTGTTCGAAGCCATTCTGATTTCTTCTGACGGTTGCTGTTGTATTGTCGTTTCTTTGCAATAATAAACCTCAAACAAGTCTTCCAGAAATAGCTACAAAAGAAGTGCATTCCGATTTACCAGTCCCACACTGCATTTGTACCTTTGTGTTGCTCAAAACGATAGAATAATTATCAAATACGGCTTGTAGTGCCTGTTGTACTTCCTACAATTTTGGTAAGTTTTTGTCTCCGTTTTTTGTTATGCTTGTTTTGACACAAAAGGCATACCTATTTGACAAAGAAGGTGCTTTGTAACATTTTGTATTCCTTAATAACTTTTTGAAAACCGACATGAATGAAAGTTGGTTGATTCCTATAATCATCTTGATTGTTTTTCCTCATGTTACTTTCATTTTATTATTTTGCTCTTCATGGGAGCTGCCAGGATCTCTTTCAGGGAAGTGCATATGCATGCATCTACACACAATGTCACTACTATCACTATCTACTATTTAGAAATGAAACATTAAGTATGTATACAGTGTCTCTCAAAAAGTTGGCATCATATAGATATGAGAAAACTTGTAATAATAATTTATTTTCGACTTGGGCATTATTGAGTTTTTATAAATTAATATCACTGAAAATAGATTCATTTGTGTCAAATTTTGATATTTTTTTAATATCTAAGTAATTTCTGTATTGTTAAGAATATTCCACAAAACTGTTCCATATATACCAGTAGCTTTATCATGCTTCTAACTATCAATTAACAATTATCAACAAAAATATAATTTTCTTTAGAAAAGAATAATTCCCCTTCAATTATGTTTGACGCAAAATTGATGTAATCGATTTTTTCAGTACTAAAAAGATGTCATAGTCATCCTACTACATTACCTATCTAACCAAAGTTTGGGATAGTTTTGTCAAAATTACAATTAAAAAAATACCAAATAATATCAAAAACCAAAAGTGGCAACAGAACGTCCAAATTTGAGACACATGAGTAAAATCAGAATAGAAAAAACTGAGATGTTTATAATATTATAAACATCTCAGAAAAAACTATCCTTGTTGAACATTTTTGAAATTCAAAGAAATTAACGCTCAGGATGAGTTTAGAAATGGATCATTATCAGAACATTTTCTCATGTGATGCCAACTTTCTGATGAATGACACTGTACATACATGTATGTTATGTCAATTAACAGAGAAATATATACAGCAACCCAGAACTTCCAAGTTCTCATTCAAACACAAGTTCAAACACTTTAACAAATTCTTAATGTTTTCTATGAATTTTCTGCCCATGCTGCTCCTTACTTATCGCATGATCGCATCTTCCATATTTCGTTGATCAGTTTGAACTCCGAAAACGTCCTTCAGATATTCAGAACAAGGCAAAAAGGTACTGCTATATATCATACACTTGATCATACAAATCATATTGTTAATAGTAATAATCAAGTAAAATGAAGAACCTCATCAGGCATTGTCTCCAGGAGGCAGAGAAATAATAAACTTTACCTATAATTATTTCAGCACAATACACTCATTATATGCCAGTAATATAGTCACAGCAGGTCACAAAGTACATAGGTTCTTGTGATATATGTATAGAAGAACAAGGAGGACAGTTAGGCAAGCAGAATTTGGATATTATTGTAGCCTCTGTAACTCAGTGGCAGAGCACTGGTCTTGTACACCAGTGGTCGTGAGTTCAATTCTCACAGGAGGCATTATGTTTTTGTCGGAGTTTATTGATGAATATTCACTTGAATCTAATGATATATGTAGATTGATATTGATCAGAAAATATAGCCTCTTAAGCTCAGTGGCAGAGCACTGGTCTAGTAAACCAGGGGTCGTGAGTTCAATTCTCACAGGAGGCATTATGTTTTTGTCGGATTTTGTTGATTAATATTCTCTTGAATCTAATGGTATATATTGAGATTTATCAGGAGATATAGCCTCTTTAGCTCAGTGGCAGAGCACTGGTCTTGTAAACCAGGGGTCGTGAGTTCAATTCTCACAGGAGGCATTATGTTTTTCTCGTTTTTTTCAATGATTATCGATTTATATTTAATGATATACACAGATTGAGGTTGATCAGAAAATATAGCCTCTTTAGCTCAGTGGCAGAGCACTGGTCTAGTAAACCAGGGGCCGTGAGTTCAATTCTCACAGGAGGCATTATGTTTTTGTCGGATTTTGTTGATTAATATTCTCTTGAATCTAATGGTATATATTGAGATTTATCAGGAGATATAGCCTCTTTAGCTCAGTGGCAGAGCACTGGTCTAGTAAACCAGGGGTCGTGAGTTCAATTCTCACAGGAGGCATTATGTTTTTGTCGGATTTTGTTGATTAATATTCTCTTGAATCAAATGGTATATATTGAGATTTATCAGGAGATATAGCCTCTTTAGCTCAGTGGCAGAGCACTGGTCTTGTAAACCAGGGGTCGTGAGTTCAATTCTCACAGGAGGCATTATGTTTTTCTCGTTTTTTCAATGATTATCGATTTATGTTTATTGATAAACGCAGATTGAGGTTGATCAGAAAATATAGCCTCTTTAGCTCAGTGGCAGAGCACTGGTCTTGTAAACCAGGGGTCGTGAGTTCAATTCTCACAGGAGGCATTATGTTTTTGTCGGATTTTGTTGATTAATATTCTCTTGAATCTAATGGTATATATTGAGATTTATCAGGAGATATAGCCTCTTTAGCTCAGTGGCAGAGCACTGGTCTTGTAAACCAGGGGTCGTGAGTTCAATTCTCACAGGAGGCATTATGTTTTCCTCGTTTTTTCAATGATTATCGATTTATATTTAATGATATACACAGATTGAGGTTGATCAGACAATATAGCCTCTTTAGCTCAGTGGCAGAGCACTGGTCTAGTAAACCAGGGGCCGTGAGTTCAATTCTCACAGGAGGCATTATGTTTTTGTCGGATTTTGTTGATTAATATTCTCTTGAATCTAATGGTATATATTGAGATTTATCAGGAGATATAGCCTCTTTAGCTCAGTGGCAGAGCACTGGTCTAGTAAACCAGGGGTCGTGAGTTCAATTCTCACAGGAGGCATTATGTTTTTGTCGGATTTTGTTGATTAATATTCTCTTGAATCTAATGGTATATATTGAGATTTATCAGGAGATATAGCCTCTTTAGCTCAGTGGCAGAGCACTGGTCTTGTAAACCAGGGGTCGTGAGTTCAATTCTCACAGGAGGCATTATGTTTTTCTCGTTTTTTCAATGATTATCGATTTATGTTTATTGATAAACGCAGATTGAGGTTGATCAGAAAATATAGCCTCTTTAGCTCAGTGGCAGAGCACTGGTCTAGTAAACCAGGGGTCGTGAGTTCAATTCTCACAGGAGGCATTATGTTTTTCTCGTTTTTTCAATGATTATCGATTTATATTTATTGATAAACGCAGATTGAGGTTGATCAGAAAATATAGCCTCTTTAGCTCAGTGGCAGAGCACTGGTCTAGTAAACCAGGGGCCGTGAGTTCAATTCTCACAGGAGGCATTATGTTTTTGTCGGATTTTGTTGATTAATATTCTCTTGAATCTAATGGTATATATTGAGATTTATCAGGAGATATAGCCTCTTTAGCTCAGTGGCAGAGCACTGGTCTAGTAAACCAGGGGTCGTGAGTTCAATTCTCACAGGAGGCATTATGTTTTTGTCGGATTTTGTTGATTAATATTCTCTTGAATCTAATGGTATATATTGAGATTTATCAGGAGATATAGCCTCTTTAGCTCAGTGGCAGAGCACTGGTCTTGTAAACCAGGGGTCGTGAGTTCAATTCTCACAGGAGGCATTATGTTTTCCTCGTTTTTTTCAATGATTATCGATTTATATTTAATGATATACACAGATTGAGGTTGATCAGAAAATATAGCCTCTTTAGCTCAGTGGCAGAGCACTGGTCTAGTAAACCAGGGGTCGTGAGTTCAATTCTCACAGGAGGCATTATGTTTTTGTCGGATTTTGTTGATTAATATTCTCTTGAATCTAATGGTATATATTGAGATTTATCAGGAGATATAGCCTCTTTAGCTCAGTGGCAGAGCACTGGTCTTGTGAACCAGGGGTCGTGAGTTCAATTCTCACAGGAGGCATTATGTTTTCCTCGTTTTTTTCAATGATTATCGATTTATATTTAATGATATACACAGATTGAGGTTGATCAGAAAATATAGCCTCTTTAGCTCAGTGGCAGAGCACTGGTCTAGTAAACCAGGGGTCGTGAGTTCAATTCTCACAGGAGGCATTATGTTTTTGTCGGATTTTGTTGATTAATATTCTCTTGAATCTAATGGTATACAGGGTGTCCCTAGACCAGTGGGACAGTTGAATATCTTCTGAACCAATAGGAATTTTCAAAATATTATAATTCCACATCATATCGCATTATGAGTGCTAACTTTAGGAATGACTATATTTTATACGAGGGGCGCAAGGAAGGCTCACAAAACTGAACATCAATTTTTTCAAATGGTACACCCTGAATTTTATTGCATTCTCATATTCTCCTTGAAGAGCTGAATTCAACGACCTAGCACACTTGGGGTCTAGCGGGAATGATTTCCGAGATATAGGGTGTGGAAAATCGAGATTTTTCATTTTTGGGAATTTTTTGTGTCAAAACTATTCATTATTGGTCAAAACGGCTTACATGTCCATATCTCAACTTTTGATTTACTATTCACTCGTATTTAATTGAAACAAATACAGGGTGGTGTAAAATTCTCAGTTTCAGTCGGAATTCCACACCACCCTGTATTTGTTTCAATTAAATACGAGTGAATAGTAAATCAAAAGTTAAGATATGGACATGTTAGCCGTTTTGACCAATAATGAATAGTTTTGACACAAAAAATTCCCAAAAATGAAAAATCTCGATTTTCCACACCCTATATCTCGGAAATCATTCCCGCTAGAGCCCAAGTGTGCTAGGTTGTTGAATTCAGCTCTTCAAGGGGATTATGAAAATGCAATGGGATGCAGGGTGTTCCATTTGAAAAATTGATGTTCAATTTTGTGAGCCTTTCTTGTGCCCCTCGTAGAAAATATAGTCATTCCTGAAGTTAGCACTCATAATGTGATATGATGTGGGATTATAATATTTCGAAAATTCCTATTGGTTCAGGAGATATTCAACTGTCCCACTGGTCTAGGGACACCCTGTATATTGAGATTTATCAGGAG